ATGAGCTGGTTGTGGTGGGGCCAGTAGCCTGTTACTCTGGAGGGAAGATGAAGCAGGATGACCATGAGCTATAGGCCAGTCTGGACTACATATGGAGACCCTGACACAAAACAAGAGGCCAGGCATGGTGGCACATACATTTAGTCCCAGCATTCAGGAGGCAGAAGCAGGTGAATCTCTGTAAAGCCTTGTTTGTATAGTAAATACCAGGTCAGCCAGGGTTGCAGAGTGAGACCCTGTCTCAAAATAACAAAATCAGAAAAAAGTTATACATATATGCATATATATGTGTGTGTGTGTGTATATATATAATTGCTTTTTTTTGTTCTTTTTAGACATAGTCTCCCTGTAGCCCCAACTGACCTGGAACTCAGTATGTAGACCAGGCTGAACTTGAACTCACAGAGATCTGCCTGCCTCTGCCTCCTGAGTGCTGGGATTAAAGGTATGGGCCACCACGTCCTGCCTTAATTACATGTTTGTATATAATCAATTGATCTCTACCTCCATGAAATTAACCTATTTTAACCCAGATTGGCCTGGAACTGCTATGTAGCCAAGACTGGCCTTGGACTTCCTGTCTCAACTTCTAGAGATCAACTTTTCAAAAAAAATTTTATGTGTATGAATATATTGGCTGCATGTGTGTAAGTCCATCTGTGTCATGTAGTGCCCACGGAGGTCAGAAGAAGGCATTGAATCTTCTGGAACTGGAGTTGTTAGCTGCCATGTGAGTGCTGGGAATTGAACCTGGGTCCTCTGCAAGAGCAGTCAGTGCTCTGAGCCATCTCTCCAGTTCCAAGATTTAAAAGTGTGTGTGTGTGTGTGTGTGTGTGTGTGTGTGTGTGAGAGAGAGAGAGAGAGGGAGACCGTACCGTATTTCATTGAGACAGGGTCTCTCACTGAACCTGAAGATAGGCTGGTGATTGGCAAGCTCCACTGACTGCCCCTGTCTTGGCCCTCTACAGTGGTGGGGTTACAAGTGTATGAAACCATGTCTAGTTTTTTAGAAAAGTGTGTGTGTGTGTGTGTGTGTGTGTGTGTGTGTGTGTGTGTATGTGTGCACGTATGCAAGCAGGTGCCCAAGGAGGTCAGAGGGCACTGAATCCCCTGCAACCAGAGTTAAAGGTTGTTATGAGCCACCTGATGTGCAAAACCAGGAAGTACTTGGGCCATCTCTCCAGCTCTCCCCATACCTGACTTTTCATGTGGATTCTAGGGATTTGAACACAGGTCCTCATGCTTGCATGGCAAGTACTCTTACCTTCTGAGCCATCTCCCTAGTCCAAGATCAATTTTTCCAATTTCCATATTGAAGTCAGTGTTTCAAACACTGGATCTTTTCACTTGACCTCTCTGCTCCTGGTTTTCCCTCCACATCACACATGCTTGCTTCTTTAATTTGTTAGAAACTGATGGTGGAAATTCCAGGACAGCTGGGAAGAAAGTATATAGCAAGCAGCATTTCCAGCTGGGTCTTGGCTAGTCCTCTTGCTGGGTGGCCAGGAGACCTTGCCTCTGGAGGCAGAAATGCTGACAGTGTTATTGTGAAATCATTTGCATATTGTGAGGTGCTTTGCATATGATGGCATGATTTGCATACAAGGAGGGAGACATCTTAGAAGTTCCAGGACAGCATTCTTGAACATCTTCTCCCCATGGGAAAGACTGGGCATTTTGTTTCAGAACTCAGAAGGGGCCCAGGAGCACATCCTGGCAGATCTATGGGGCTGGTGAGGAGAGGGAGACAGGACAAGCCAGACTACCTGGAAGGGTTCTAGGAAGGCTAGATGTTAAAAGTATGAAGGGCTGGGGAGTAGCTTAGTTGACAGAGTACTTGCCTAGCATGCATGATGCCCTGGGTTTGAACACTGCATAAACTGGGTGTTATCTTGCACTCCTATAATGAGGAGGTTCAGAAATTCTAGGTCAAAAAATATCTTTAAAATATAAGCAATGGACTGGAGAGATGGCTCACCAGTTAAGAGCTCTGGCTGCTTTTGCAGAGGACCAATTCCCAGCATCTACATAGTGGTTCACAACCACCTGTAACTCCAGTTCCAGGGTATCCGACACCCTCTTCTGGCCTCCACTGGCATTGCAGATCACGGGTGCACTTACAGACATACAGGCAAAATACACACATAAAATTAAAACTATGTATATCTATCTATATATATAAATAGTACGATGCAGGACAGGAACCAGCTGCTATGTGTGGAGATCAGTGTGCCCTCAGAGCACCCAGCAAGAAAAAAAAAGTAGCACCAAATGCAGAGAGCTGCCATTGGAGGGGAAGAGCTAAGGACCAGAGACTTAAGAGACCCCTCACTCTGTCACAATCTGTCCAAGGGACTACTCACCTGCCCTTTCCTGAATATTCTCCCATGCTGGCTGCTAGCTGATTCCCAGAGAAGTTGCAAAATGGAAACGTTAGGCCACACTCTACTCCTATTCAGTTCAGTCAGTCCTTGGAAATGAGAGGTGGCTACCACGTGCTCTAGGCTGAGGCACATAGAGATCGGAATTCTGGTCCTACCATCTGTGTGGCTGCCCTAACCCTAGGCTAACAGTATCCGACTGGAGGATAAAATGATGATTTGGTGACGATAATGTTAATAGAGTGGCATGCAATAGATGTTCAGTACAATGAATCTAGTGAATTATTATAATTGTCATTAATTTGTTCCACTAGTCTAAGAGGCCTAGCTAGTGCTGGGTGAAGAGAGCACAGAACCCTCTGTCCCCAGGTTTGGAGCACCAGGGAGTAGGGTCTAGAAACATGTATTGGACCCCAAAGGGTTACAAAGGCCTAGAGACAGTGGCCTGAGGTTCCCAGTGAAAAACCAAAGCATAAAAATAATTCGATGAGTAAGAATAAAATTCCCTCTTCTGTGGTTCCCGGGGACAGGCCCCTCCCTGCGGCAGACACTTCCCCTTTCCCTTGCTTATGGAGGAGCCAGGCCGACTGACTCAGAGAACACACAGCCATCCTCCCATCCCTGGACCGAGCGGTCTGGCAGCCACGCGCGCCCCCGTGTGGTCGCTGCCGGGACTGCATTCCCGGAAGAGAAGCAGCTTCCAGAGTCGCAAAACCAGCTGCTCAGGATCCCCGCGCGGCCGCAACTCTCGCCCCAGCTTAGCTCGACTAAGCGCGGTTGCCCGTGGGGCTACCCACTTCCGTCCTGCCCTCTCCGCAGTCCCGTAATCCAGTCCGAGCGGAAGTGCGCTGTCCGCGTGGGTCCCCCATGGCTGACAGACGGAAGCGCTCCCCCCCACCCGACTCCGCTGCTCCGTCTGGACCCCCGGACCTCGGCGCGTTTGGTTCCGGACTGCCCGTGTGACGTGGCCGGGAACCGGGGCTGGTTCGGGGCTGGGGGCCTGGCGGCGAGGCCGGGCGGGGCAGAGCCGGGGCGGGGCGCGGCACTGCAGCTGGATGGCTGGGCCCGCCCGGAGCGCCACAGCTGCCGCCACCGCCGCTGCCGCCGCTGCACGGTAAGTGACCGCTGGACCCTCAGAACCTGCGCCCGGGGCGGAATAGATAGGTCAATCCCCAAGCCGGCCGCAGCTGGTCCTGGTCGTACTTGGGCCCCTCTCTGGAGCCTAGAAGTTGAACTTGCCTGCCTTTGACTCTGCTTTAGCCCTGTCGTCCCACACTCTGCCCCATCTCTCCCCTCTGTGCCCCTTCCCGTCTGCCCCCACCGACACTCCCTGGCTCTCTTTTACTTTCGTGTTTTTCTTCTTTCTCTTCTCTGACGAACTCTGTCTATATTCCATGCTTCTCTCCCAGACCTGTGGCCCTCTCACCTCTGCATGACCCGCCAGGAATTTGGCCTGGCTAGGGCCTGCCTCGGTCTCAGTGGAGCCCTGCTGGTTAACATTGTATGTGTGTGTGTGTGTGGGGGGGGGGGTCTCACTAAGTTAAGGCCTTGAGATCCCAGATGTAGGCTTCTACCCCACCACCCAGAGGCAGCTACTTTCTCTCGCTCCAACAGCAGATGAGGAAACTGAGGCAGCTCAAGGTCACAGCCAGTTATAAAGCAGGGTAGACCACATTTAAACCTCGCTGGAGTTTCCAGATTGAGCTCGAATGGTTGACTCACATCCCCATCCTGCAATCTGTCGATCTGTCGGCAGGGCACATTCCTACTGGGAGTGCTCCAACCCCCGGCTGGCATACCGAGGGCATATATTCCCTCTCCAAGCCAGCAACTAACTGCATTGTCGAGCTCACTTCATCTTCATAGTTCTGCAAGTGAGACAGTACTTAGCTTCATGGCATGGTGAGGACACTGAGGCTCAGAAAAGTCACTGCAGTTGGTGGCCCCCACATCTTTGAGGCATCTCTTCTTTTTAGGACAACTGCCCCATTTACTAGAAAGAGGTTTGGATGGTTCCATGCCCACTACTCAGTTTGCCCACCTGTGCCCATGGGTGCCATCCCATCAACCTAAACAATGCTGGCGTCAGACCCTGGGGTGTCCTCACAGGCACATCCTGGCAACCAAACCTCTCCTGGCAGCTAGAGACACCCAGCAGGGCTGGGCCCGACAGTGACTGAAGAGAGCCCAGCCAGGGCCTCACCCAGTCATTAAGGAAAGCTTAGCCTAAGGCAGACACTGACACACAGGCTGGAGCCGACTCAGAAGGAAAAAATGTGTAATTCTTGGGAGGGGGAGTGTGGAGGAGCAGTGTCCCTTTGCTTTGTGTACCCACTGTTGGGATCCTCATGTCTTCAGTGGGGGGAGCTGGAGGGTGATGCCATTACCACTTGAGAGGGTGGAAAGAGATACTCTGCTTCCTAAGTAGGTATTGCAGTCCAGGGAGGCAGCTCATATAAGCAGCATTTGTGTCTTTCAGCACGTGGCATGCCTGGATGTCCCTGCTCTGGCTGTGGCATGGCGGGCCAAAGGCTCCTCTTCCTCACTGCCCTTGCCCTGGAGCTCCTGGAAAGGGCTGGAGGTTCCCAGCCAGCCCTCCGGAGCCGGGGGGCTGCAGCAGTCTGTCGCCTGGATAACAAAGAAAGCGAGTCCTGGGGGGCTCTGTTGAGTGAGGAGCGACTAGACACTTGGATCTGCTCCCTCTTGGGCTCCCTCATGGTGGGTCTCAGTGGGGTCTTCCCTTTGTTGGTCATTCCCCTGGAGATGGGGACTGTGCTGCGCTCAGAAGGTGAGTGGCCCTCCAGCGGCCCTGAGGTATAGCCAGGAGGGTGGGGAACATGCTGCTGCTCCTTTGGAAGATGCCAAGTCTCATGTACCAGGTCACTCTGTGTCTGAGATGGAGAGTAGTGTTGCCTTGGCCCTGCAGCACAGGGGACATGGGTTCATGTCTTCATTCTTTTGTGCATCTGCTGACTCTTTCAATTAGCAAACATTCTTCAGACTCAGTATGAGCAGTGGCTAGCTATATGACCATCAGGCTACCTGGGTTCAGATCCTGGCTTTGTTACTACCCACCAGCCAAGTAGCATGTAGCAAATTGCTTAACCTCATTCTACTACAATCTGGTGGACTTTAAAATGAGCAGAGGGTGTAGTTCAGTAATAGAATGCTTGCCCATCATGTTCACGGCCTGGGTTCAAGCCTCAACACCTTTCAGAATGAGAACAGTACTAGTACTAACTTAGGCATTTTAAATGAACTAATATGCACAAACACTTGGAGGGTTCCCTGGTGTAGGGTAGGGGCAGGTGTTTACAGGCTCATGTTGAACACTGGGTACAGAGGTAAGCAAATGCTGCCTCCCCTCCAGTTTTGACTCATGGTAAGAGTTCTCATGCCATGAGTCTAGAGATGAAGTTTAGTTGTGTTACAGTGCTTGTGTAGTGTACACAAAGCCCTGAGTTCAATCCGTAGCACTTCATAATACTGGATATGGTAGCACATACCCCCAAATCCCAGAACTTGAATGAAGGCAGGAAGGTCAGAAGTTCAGGGTAATCCTTGGCTACATAGCTAGTACAAGGTCAGTACGGATACATGAGATCCTGTCTCAAATAAAAAAGGACCAGTGAAATGGTTCAGCAGGTAAAGGCTCTTGGCACACAAACCTGGAAACCTGAGTTTGATCCCTGGAACTCATGTAATGGTGGAGAGAACCAAGTTTACAAAATTGTCCTCTGTCCACACACTTGACATGGTACACCCCCACACACACACACTCACACATGAAAATAAATAAATAAATAAAAAGTAATAAGTACCCTTAGCCTTTTGCCATCTGCCAGGCTCAGGAACCATTTAATAACCAGATGGTTCCTGAACTCCTATGATTGCCAACAGCTGTGAAGAGAGCCCTCCTGGAGCCTGTCATGTCCATGTATCAGCTCACCCCTTTTCAAAGAAAAGCCCAGAGTGTAGCTCTGTGGTAAAATGCTTGCCTAGTGTGTGAGACCACAGCACTGTCAGTGTAGGATGCACTTGGAGTATTGGTTACATTTTACAGATGGGAAGCATTTGTTCTCTGGCCAGCTCTAGATTACACAGCTTGAAAACAGCAACCTCCCCTGGGATTCCCCCCCCC